GCCACATTCTGAGCACAGCAGAGACAGGAGTGAGCGAAGCCACCACAGAGCGCATGTTACAAAAATGAAGCAAACGAGCAACAAGTGCCACACGGGGTAACCAGCATGATAGGGGAGATAGAATGAGGAGAGCACATTTCATAGTAAGAGATTCAGGAAGGAAGCCGGCCCAGACCTGAATGAAATGAGCTATGAGCCAAGCGCGTGCCTGGGGGAAGCAGGTGCCAGGAGGAACAGCGAGCCCAGCCTCCTGAGGCGGGGGGTGTGGGGCATGGCAATGGCTGCACAGGAGCTCTGCCCTGGAGCACATGATCCGGGCACAACCAAGAGCACTGGTGGCACCGCTTGAACACTTGGAATCAGCTCATGATAGCACTTAAAGTGCCTTTGCTGATTTGTTGAAAACAAGGTGTAAAAATCACTCAGTGAAAAGGTGGTATCGACCATCAGCCTAGCTCTAATCCTCCCGGGGCTTCACCTCCCATTTCAAGCTCACATACCCTCTCAGCAAACTTCTCACTGCTCCTCAATTTATCTCCAGCCCCAGGTCCTCAGCTGAACACCTCCTGCCCCATCGTCGCACCTGGGGTTCACCCAGGAAACTCCACGCGGTCCTTCTCACACCCTAGGAACATTCCTCCATCGCAATCCTCACTGCCCTGGGCCCCTGGGATGCACTCGAGGACCTGCCTACCATCTTTGTAGTGTGACAACATATATGTGTTATTTCCTTGCCATGTCTGGGCAAGGAAGTAGGAGGTGGGATTCCTTGGATAAAAAAGAGGTGAGTGAGTCCCTATGACGTGAGCCATCATCATATGATGTGTTGTCATTAGCTCAGAGTCACTCCTAAATACTCCTAATACATTTCTGTTTTTATTGTATCTGTGACTTAGTGATGATGTTTATGCCATTGCAGAAAAATAATAAAGAATGATGCTCTGTTTCATAGCTTACAGAGCTGGTTTCACATACACTTGAATGGTCCGGCTATTCCTGACAGCTACCAAACAGGCGCACACATCACCTTGCCTTCTGGGAAGCTGTAGGAGACACGTTACCTCTCAATAGGATAAACAGCCACACACTAGAGGGTAAAGGCAGGGCGTGCTTCACCCCAGCACCTCCTAACCTGGCACAGGCTGGATCACATGCTACTTCAATGACTTCTTTTTGAGATCAAACACCTGCCCAGCACCCCCGTCTCCTGCCTTCTTGCTTGGAGCCTGCATCTCAGCTTCCTCAGCAGCAGTGAAAAAGGAAGCCAACCCCGACCTGTAGAAATAGTGTATTTCCTCAATTCCAAGGCACACAATTGTTCAAATTTTAATTATTCTGAAATCAGGATGTGTCTTACAATTAGTCAGTACACTACATGTGGTGTTCCTTTTTTCTTTCGTTTTTGTTCACCCCCTACAAGCTGTTCTTAAAACAATGGTGTGTCGTACAATTGATGACATCTTAGAATCAAAGAAAATAGTAGTTAAAATCATGGGGTGGCAATTTAAGGTCCACCCATGTCAGACTTCTTGAAGTCATTGTGAAACCGTGTTATGTTCTGCTTTGAATGTCTGGTGGTGTGAACCCAGAGAGACTGGATTCCTAGATCCCTGCGGCCTCTGGTCCATGCCAGGAGCATGGGGCAGACAAAGGGCAAAGCATGGTCCCTGCTGACTTGTCAGCTCTGCCAGCACTGCCACTAGCTTTGTGCTTTTCATTCCTCAATTCATAGAAATGGCCGCCAGCAACGAGAGGTAATCTCAGGACACACAGGCTTGGGCTAGGCCTTGGAATATTCCGGAAGCCAGTGGCCAGAGTTGTATCAAGCCAGACGGGACACATATGGGAATACAATTACAGCAAAGCCGCCAAGGCTTAGTGAGGGGCAGAGGGCCCGGCCACATGAGGAGCCAGCGCGGTAAGCAGGCCCAGGTTTGGGGGCCGGCTGCATGTCCTGCACAACCACATCTCCCAGAGTGCATTCGCCACCATCCACTCCCTCCAGATGCCCCTTGAACAAATGAATTTCACAGTCATAAAAGGCTGAAAAATGCTCTGTGACCTGACACCCCCTTGGAGAACCACAGTGCATTAAAGGCTCTGAGAAGTCCTGCAGTAAAGAAACCTGATGAACTTTTGTTTAATTTAATGTTTCCCAAACTTATTTGATCACAGAATCCTTTTATCAGTAACATCTTTTATAATTTTAAGATGTGGATTTTCTGCAGAGCAGCCACTGGGACACAGGCCTCTCATGTGCAGAAACATGAGGGCCTGGGAGCCGATTTCATCACAGTAGATCATGGAAAGACAAAAACTGAGAGTGGAGAAATGAAGGGTGAGACCAGGAAAGAGATTCTCTCTGGGGTCCCAAACGTGGCCCTGGCTATGAAAATACTTGAGGCGCGGGGTCCACTTGCCTGGTGGCCTTTTTTGGGCGGTTGGTGTTGGTTGCTGGGGTATCCCCAGGGCAGTAGCTGCAGCACTGGCCTGATGCGTGTGCACGCCAGCTGATGTATCCAGCACGGTCTTGGCACACCTAGTTGTTTTGGAAAGGTCTTTTCTTGAACAGGAACTTGCATACTCAAAAACGACAGCAAAAGACAAGGCCACACTCATCCCCGAGGGTAAGTCCTTGGCTCCTTTTGCACACCCAGGAAAGATGCTGTGGAAACAGAGCACCAGAGGATATGGGGTACAGAGACAACAGAGGAGGGGTGCTTTCTATCTATCTCTAGATACTTGAAAGAAAAAAATGATGAAAAACACTAGCTAAGAATTAAGTTCTTGGTGACCGCCTGCTGTACGCAGGACAAGAAGTACTATAAAGAGTGCAAATCTGTCTGCTGCACCCAGCAACTTCCAGCTGATGAAAGGCTATGTCCCTGGAAAGGTAACAACTGCCTACTGCAAGAAATTCCTAGGGTCCAATCCTGAATCCTTCTCTCAGCAGCAGAATTCTGGGAGAGAGAAGCCAGGTTGTTCATGGACACTCAATGGAAGAATTAAGGCAAGTAAATTGTAAGTTTTTCAGGACTGGTTGACAGGAGAAGGGAATCATAGCAATGAGCACAGCTAAGATGAAGGCACAGAAGCAAGATAGTCAGGCTGTGCTCAGAGAATAACTTCAGTGAGAGCAGTGAGCGGGTGCTTCAGGTTCCTGGGAGACAGTGGGTCACAGACCGCAGGCTGAGGAGTTTGGATTTGCTCATAGAGAAATATCTTAAGCTAACAGATCCCATGTCAGGCAAGGTCTCTTGGCTTCAAGAGGCTGGCAGTCAGGAGGGAGTAATCGAATGCTGGCTGGGGGTTGAGAGAATCGGGGGAAAGAGGGAGGATGTGGGCAAAGCATGTTTCAATGGGTGGTGTGGTTGTCAGAGAGGAGGCCATGAGCAGAGAGAACTGAGGCAGCGAGAGAGAAGTCCACATGTCAGGCCTTGGGGTTTGGGTCAGAAGAGGCGGTGGAGGATGGAAGGGAAGGAGAGAAGGCAAGGAGAAAGAAGGAGAAGAGGGACATGCTTCCCCTCTCACCGGTGTCAGGGTTCTGATTGTGACTGAGCTTTGCATAGGGCAGGTGGGCAGCTGTGACCCACACATGATATTCCACCTGAGGATGTGTTTTTCTGATGTGCACAGTAATTTTCAAAACCAGGAAAACTTTACATAGCTCTCTAGATTTCTGTAGATAAGTGGAAAGGCCTGGCCTTCCTGGACCTTCACCCGGCAGTGTGACCTGGAGCTGGTCACAGCTGCTCCTGCAACTCCTGGATTGGGCGCTTCAGATGACTGTGGTCCCCACCCTTCCTATTGCCTCACACCCAGGAGGCTTCACTCACGTCCATTGACACCCTCTGTCTGGCCACAAGGACACTGAAGTTTGCGACCTAGATGCAGATTATGTGCACACAGGGCTACCATTCGCAGGGGGCGGATGGTCAGTGGGGGAGCAGGGTGCTGAAATCCAGCTTGCATGCATGCCCATGCTCTCTGTATGTCCCTTCTGTATTTGCACAAAGGCATCTTACAGGCTGAAAATGGCCCTGCCTGCAAATTCTCCCAAAGGTGTATATTCTCCATTGGCCATAATGTGCTATATAGCGCACAAGAAGGAGACCAGTTCAGGGAGCTGAGAGTGAGAGGAGACTGCATTCTCAGACACAATTGTCCAGACACTTCCTTTAAAAACTTTGTGCCAATGCCCAGGAATGCTCAGTCTTGGAAAACAGTGAGTGTCTAATCAAGCCATTTAAAGCAGGGAGAAGATTTTAATTGGCTGCAACTGTAGGTGTAATTATTTACAGCATGCAGAGGTTTTCCTTTTGAACCTCGTAGCAGTCATATACAGCAGCAATTCTTATTTCCCTATTTTGCAGATGAGGAAATGGAAGCTTACAGAGGTTAAGTGATTGGCCTCAGGCCACTGCATTTACTACTACTAATAATGTTAACACCCATAGTCTGTCCTGGGCAGGCCTGAGCATCTCACACACTTTCATTCATTTACTCCTCACTCCTCGGGAGCACTGATGCTACTTTTTCTCCTCTCCCAGAAGAAGACAGAGGCCTAGGAGAGTCTGGGTGGACTCCAAAACCCACATTTCTAGTCGCAACATGAGACACCCCCATTAATAAGACCAAAGGGCCCACACTAAAGGCAAATCAGTCAACACAAATGTGGGATTAAAATCCAGGTCTTCAGTCTAGAATCTGTCACTCATTCCTGCATATTTTTTAACACTGGACTCATGGTGCCTTGAGCTCAACTGGTTCATGCAGGATATATCATTAGGAAACTCCAAAACTTGAGCATTAATCAGAGTGTTTGCAATGAAAAAAAATCAGTGCCTTTTCTATGAGACAAAGCAGCTCCGTATTTGACTCTGGTCAGTGTAGGCATTAACTTCTAAACTGAATCAGCAAGACCTGCGTTCCAGCCTGGCCCCACAACCCACCCGTGGTGTGGCCTTGGACCCAAGGCCTCATCTTCCTCCTCTGGGAGAAGGGCACAGCCACAGCCCCAGTGTCATGGCAACACATGGGCCAGGCTCAGGTCTGGCACATGGCAATCAGCCGATGATGGCAGGGAGGCTTTGCTTCCTGTCCCAGGCAGAGGGGAAGGCACGGCCTGTGAGTAATGCAAGTTTGAGAGTTGAGCCAGTTCAGAGCAAGGCTGGGAGGACCCGTGGGCACAGTCAGTCTCCAGAGATAAGCAAGGGCTGGCTCCCTCAAATTGTCTCCAGTGTAGCCACACATGCCACCAGTGTGGGAGGGAGCCCCTGATAACTTTCTGCTGGGTAGCAGAATTGTTGATGAAGGGCCCAGAGCCAATGGGGAAGAGGCCTCCCCCACAACCCTGGGCCTCCTGCCCACTAAAGCCACTTAAAACTCCAGACCGTGCCCTCAAGCTTTCCAGTCTCCATGTCTCAGGAAAGTCCAAGACAGCAGGGAGGAAGTGGGCACATGACTGGGTTTTCTCATTGCCTCCAAACAATCCCATGTGCTGGACCATATTTTCTGCTCTTCTAGAAGCTTCTGTGTCCCAGGTCAGGTAGGTGCTGATTGTGTTCCCTCTGTCTCTGGGATCTCTTCCCCTCAACTCAGGATTTAGGGGGATTGGAAGCCCTGTGCCCACCTGCCAGCTCCCATTTACTCACACGGCCCTGCAGGTTGCAGGCTTAGCCACTTCCCAGGGGGAGCCTAGAAAGGATGTTGGTCACTCAGTTGCTAAACCTGCTCCAGCATTCTTGAAAGTCTTGAAAATGTATTTTAGGCCAGGCACAATGGTTCACACCTATAATCCCAGCAATTTGGGAGGCCAAGGCAGGTGGATCACCTGAGGTCAGGAGTTTGGGACCAGCCTGGCCAACATGGTGAAACCCTATCTCTACTAAACATACAAAACTAGCCAGGCATGGTGGCACATGCCTATAATCCCAGCTACTCAGGAGGCTGAGGCAGGAGAATCACTTGAACCCAGGAGGCAGATGTTACAGCAGTGAGCTGAGATCACACCATTGCACTCCAGCCTGGGCTACAGAGCAAGACTCCATATCAAAAAAAAAAAAAAAAAAAAAAAAAAAAAGAAAAGAAAAAAAAGAAAATCTTAAGAAAGAATGCTGCTGTCATGAAGAAACACCTCTGACAAACACGAGGCCAGCTAAGCTAGGGTGGGGGCTGGGTGCTAGGCTCTGAGGAGGCCTCTGCAGTCCTGGGTGGTTGGCCCAGGTACAGCCTGTGAATATAGGAAGCTCTTGGCTGCTGCCCATGGCTCAGTTCCTGTCATCATGCATCAGACACTGGAAGGCAATGACAGTAGCTGGAGCTGATGGACGGGGCTGTTTTTTCTCAACCAGACAGTGTCCAGGTTCCTGTCTCTTGGCAGAGGAAGAAGTGCCACCATTGGCTACCATGATAAGGAGCCAGCTCAGAGCAGCTTTGTGGGGGTACTGAAGAGATGAGGAGGGACGGGGATAGGATTGAGGAGGGACAGGGATAGGATTAAGGAGGACACGGCTGGAACAGGGAGAAGGACAAGAATAACTCCCCACTGGGACTGAAGGAGAGGAAGGCACATGGGGGCCCTTGGCAGGGTGGAGTAGGGCCATAGGTAAAAGGAAAGAGGAGGAAAGGACAGATATGGGGGAGAGTGAGAAGGAGGGGAGGGAAGGGAGGAAAAGGGAGGAGAGGACACCTCCAGATCTGGCTTGGCAGAAGTCTCCTCAGAAAAGACAAGTGCAGGATGTGGGAGGAAGGAAAGGACTGAGGGTCTCCAAAGTCTGCTCAAATTTTCAGGTGCAAATGACCTCCCAACAAAATAGCCCGTCTGAGTTCTGCAGAGGCTGAGAGCCAACTCAAGAGCATGGAGTTTCCAAAGCCAGAAGGGACCTTGGGTAAACAAGAAAGCTCGAGGCCTGAGGAAGTTAAAGGGATTTGCTCCAAATTACCCAGCCGAAAGGGGGCACAGCATGGATCCACAAACTTGATGGTGCTTTACTCACTACGCTATAAAAGGAGAGTCCAAACATGGTGAAGATGGATGGCAGATTGGCAGCCAGTGCTCCCTCCATGGCAGTACTGTCCCCGCCCTCTTCCTGTATTAACTAAAACCCACACATGATGCTGGCATTTGATAATCTCTTATCTCCAACCAATGTTAATTTTACAACCTGGCATGCTTTAGATGGTAGAGTAATAAAGCAGAATTTATGCATCCAAACAAAAACCTCCAGTACCTTGAAAAACTGCACACCTGTGCTTAGCAATTGCATTCACATTTAGTAATTGTTTTCTGAGTAATCCATCCATCATTCAGTTATTCCTATGTCAGCCAGACTCTGGTATAGGCAATTTAAAAATAAACACAACAGGGCTCCCACTGTATAATTGCTAAACACAATGACAGCTATAATTGAGGCATTGAAGGAAGGTCAGGGGAGCCCACGAGGGTGGAGCTGCTGCTGCCTGCTGAGCTGGGAGGGTTGGTGGCACCCCTTGCCCTGGGTTGCCATAGCAGATATCATAATCAATTATGGCAGCCTTTCGTGAGGAACCTGGACCTTTCCCAGAGAATCAGTGAGAAGTTTCAGCTCACATACCATCTCTGATTTGCCATCCCTGGGATGCAAGCTGAATCCCCTCGTTTTACAGTGTGGATACAGAGGGCCAGAGAGTTCAATGCAAGCCCTGGGTTAGACTCCAGATCAGCTGCCAGGAGAGATGAGGGGCTGGTAGGGACCAGCCAGCAAACGGTCATGCTGCCTGCTACAGACCCTACTTCACACTCCCATGCCACTCGCTTGGTTCACTGATAAAATTATACTCACAAGAACAGTCCTCTGATTTCCATAAGATACTGTAATATTTTGTAATATTTTGTATTGTATAATACATATCCATTTCAGAAACTCTAGAAAATACAGCTAAATTGGAAGGGAAAATTAAAGTCACTCATAATCTAATCACTGCTATTAACATTTATTCCTTGTTGGATATCTTTTCAATATCTTTCTAGGCATCTTTCTCTCTGCTTATGTGCCTGTGGTGTTATGATATATATGCATAGGCTTTCATTCATGAGTCCTTGCTTGTCACTCCCATTCTCCTTGTTATAATGTTGGGAGCATTAGGCCTCAGGAGACAACATCCATCCCTCTCTCTGACCTTTTCCTGTTCTCCTTTCTCCTGCCCAAGGCAGGAGTCTAATCGATTGTGGGTCAAAAGACCCTCATTTCAGAGCAGGTCCTGCCCCAGGCCCTAGAGGAAGAAATGCCGCACAGAGAGGCCGGGAAAGTCTGAACAGATAGGCCTTGCTGGGTTTAGATTATGTTGTTTTTGTCCAACCACATTTCTACATGATTGTCAGTCATGCCACGTAATGAAGCCTCCATAAAAACCCAAGAGGGGCCAGATGCGTTGGCTCACACCAGTAATCCTGGCACTTTGGGAGGCCAAGGTGGGTGGATCACTTGAGCCTAGGAGTTCAAGACCAACCTGGGCAATATGGCAAAATTCCATCTCTACCAAAGGAAATACAAAAATTAGCTGGGCATGATGGCTTGCTTGCACCTGTGGTCCCAGTTACTCAGGAGGCTGTGGTGGGAGGAGGGTTGCTTGAGCCCGGGAGAAAGGGGTTGCAGTGAGCCAAGATGGTGCCACTACGCTCTAGCCTAGGTGACAGAGAAAGATCTTGTCTCAGAAGGAAGGAAGGAAAGAAGGAAGGAAGGAAGGAGGGAGGGAGGGAAGGAAGGAAGGAAGGGAGAGAGAGAGGGAGGGAGGGAGGGAGGGAAAGACAAGAAAACCCAAGAGAACAGCGTTCAGTGAGCTGAGCACGTGGAGACTGACAGGAAAGTAGAGAAGTCATCCATGTGCCGAGTGGGTGCTCTTTTAGTTTTACGGGGACTGGACTCTTCCAGGCCTTGCCCTATGTATCTCTTCATCTGGCTATTTGTTCCTTTAAAATATCCTTCCTAACGATTCTGTAAATGTTAAGTGTTTCCCTGCGTTCCGTGAGCCACTCTGGCAAATTAATGAAACCCAAAGAGGGGGCTGTGGGAACCCCAACTTGAAGCAGGTCAGTCAGAACTTCCAAAGACCTCTTCTTGAAACTTGGGGGAAAGTGGAGGGCAGTCTTTCGGGACTGAGTCCTTAAGCTGTGGGATCTGATGCTATCTTCCGGTAGGCCGTGATGGAACTGAACTGGAAGGACACTCCGCTGGTGTCCGCTGCTTGGTGTGTGGGGAAATCTTCCACAGATTTTGTCACGAAGTCTTCCTCTGCTGATGATTGCTGTTGTGGTGTGACAGCAGAGGAAAAACATGATTTGAGAGGTTTTTTCCAAAAGAGACCCCGAGTGGTAATCGGAGTAATCCGCCCACCCTGGTGTGTGTATGTGCGTGAGCTTATGCACGTGTACGTGGCATCACATACACATGGCTCACATGTGTATGATCTTATTTGCACACTGGTTTATACACTTTCTTTTCCACTTACTTATATATCAAAATTTCCCTCGTAATGTCTTCTCTGTGCCACTATGTACCCTCCCCTGTCCCCCATTCCCGGCACTAAGAGTATTATGAGTGTTGAATTCCATATGGGCAGGTTCCTCAGGCAATGAGGGACGGGGCCTGGCAAATGCAGGCCATGCAGAATGCTGCGGGGCAGGGGACGGGTGAACCAAGGGAGCCGAGAGTTCCAGATAACAGAGTGCACAGCAATGCCATGGCCCGTGTCCAGCAACCAGGAGAAACAGAACTGCCGAGCTCAGAGTAGGCCAAGGCCGCATCTGCTAACAGGGAGCAAGGGCACAGCCTGCTGTCTGGCCTCTTTTGCCCCATCCCTCCACAGGGACATGGCCCAGCTGAGAAAGGGCTGCCAGAAGGCCAGTCAAGCATAGGGCGGGTGAGGACAATGTTTTATGCAAGAGTGGATACTCGGAGCCTCTGCACTCTCCATCAGGGCTGCTGGCCTGGAAAACAGAGAAACCATCACCTAGGACTTAATTGAACTATTGGACTTACCAGAGGAGCCCAATTTAAAGCAAAGAGGTCCAGAGAAAAAAGCATTCTAGTGACATTTTTATATATTTAAAAATTGAAAAAAAAAAAAAACTATAATTAGAGCACTGAGATCCCACTGTCTATGAAAATTGGGCCTAGCCCTGCTGAGCAATGTTGCAGGTGCCCAGTGCTAATGACCGACGCGCCTCACCTCCCCCTTCCCCTCCACCTTCGTTCTGGCCATGAGCCCTGAGCCAGCCATGCACACCTTACCACCTGGTGAACCTCAAACTCTTCTCTCTCCCACCTCCACCAAACCCCACGTTCAAAAGGCTTGCCTGAGAGACCTGCCCACCTCCTTGGCAGCTCTGGCCTCCAGTGCCGTGCCAGGTGAGTGACTTATTTGTGCTGTATAGCATTTGGTACAGGCATGTACTGGATTTATAACACTTACTATACCAGCTTGGGGTTGTGACGCATCTTCAAGGGAGTCCCAGAGAGCAGAAAGCTTGTCCTATTCATGTTTTGCCCACCTTGTTCCTGAAGAATACCTGGCCCATTGCAAGGGATCAGCAAATATTACCAACCAAACCAGAAACCTCTCCATCTCCCCTTGACGTCTTCTCGATAACTTTTCCAGAAACCCCCAGAAACAACAATGGCTGCCACTCACTGAAACCCTCCTATGCATTAGGCCCTGGGCCAAGCCTTGGCGTTCATGTGTCACTTAAATTTCAGGTAGATTGTCAGATTTAGCAAAAATAATAATAAATAATAATTTAGAATGTCCAGTTAGATTTGAATCTCAGATAAGCAACAAATAATATTTTAGTATAAGTATGTTCCATACAATTTTTATAGCAGGCATCCTATATTTTATCTGGCCATCCCGGCCCCAGGTAACCCTATGTGAGGAACTCATAGGTCTATTTTACAAGGGAAGGAACTGAGGCTTAAAGAGGTTAAATGACTTTCCCACAGTAACACCTGAGATGGAATGGTAGGCACCTGACTCCAAAGTCCCCACATGGTCTTTGCTTGTCTAGGAGATGGAGTTCCAAGTGAAACAGGTTAAGGGGGTGAATGCATTGGCAGGAGATGTGATGAGTTTGAGACTTTATTGGGAGCATCTGGCAAGTGGTGGTCATCAACCAATTTTTAGTCTCTCTCTCCCTTCTTTCCCCTGCAACAAATTGGAAATTTCCTTCAGACTCTCACACAGGGAGTCCTCTACGAACACGTTGAACCTGCTGCTCTTGTGGGAAAGCAGAAGGAAGAAGGATGATGGAGAAGATCCCTGCCATGTGATCTATTACAACGGTCTGAGGTCTCAGGCAGCTTAGCACAAAGAGACCCTGGAATGCAGCCACAGATCCCTGGAAGAGACTTTACAGGTGCCATGTTGGAGAGTGGAACATGAGAGGGATGGTCTCAAAGAACAGGAGCAGAAACCATCAGGGACAACGCAAACTTGAAAAGTCAGCATGAGTAGGGCCTGGGAAGAAAAAAAAATCTTCCCTTTACAATAGCTTCAAGGACCACAAATTTAAGGGCTCTCCACAGGCTTAGGACAGAGAGTCAAGGAAGTTACTGCTGCAGGCAGCGATGGTGGTGTCAATGTATGCTCTTCTCGGGCTCCCTCCACGCCCCTGAAAACACAGAAGTGCTGTCCACCTGCTTCTTCACTTGTCTTTTCTTCTGGATCCACATCCTCACCTCACATCGGAAAGGCCCAGTGCTCACTTTTACCCATCATCTGCCTCCTCCCAGTAGGGTCGGCAACCCTGGCTACGGCACCGAGACCCTCCCCTGTGCCAGACACTCTGCTGGCTGCAGGGCAGCCCAGCCTGCAGGGCGGCCAGGACAGACAGAATCTTTGCTCTTCCTCTTCATCTGATCAGAGGCTTCTGTCTGATCAGAATTAGGTGTATGGATGTCTCAGGCGATGCACAGCTGCCACCGGGTTCTCCTTTCAAGGATTATCCTTTCCAGATGGCCACAATGGTGGTGGCAGCCAAACGCCCACCTCCACATAAGTCTTTCCTCTTCTGTCCAAAGCAAATCCGCTGTCAGGGAAGGATCTGGAACTACATGGAACTGAGGTATAATAACTGGAAACAGTTCCCTAAGATCCTGTGTGGAGCAGGAAATCAAAGCTGGGGACTGCATTATACTGCCGCAATTCCTATTAAACATTTGTGGTTCAAAGTTCTTTCTC